GGGTTTTAAGAAGGGATTTAAAAACAGACAGGGACGACGCCTGTCTGATGTCCAAAGGAAGGTCGTTCCATAATTTAGGAGCTGCCACAGAAAGAGCACGGTCACCCCTGAGCTTACACTTTGTCTTGGGCAGAGTCAGGAGCAGCTGATCAGCTAACCTGAGGGATTGACAGGGTGTGTAAATTTGGACAGACAGGGTGGAGCAAGACCATTACGAGCTTTAAAAGCATATAAAACTTTAAAATGAATTCTAAAATGTACAGGCAGCCAGTGCAGGGAGGCTAAAACAGGGGAAACGTGGTCAAACGTTCATGTGCCTGTTAAAAGAAGGCATTCTGTACCCTTTGAAGCTGAGAGATACAGAACTCACTGTATAAAGTGCGCTACAGTAGTCCAGCCGAGTGGTAACAAAAGCATGGACTACAATTTCAAAATGTTTCTGAGAAAGAATTGGCTTTACTTTAGCCAGCTGCCTCAGATGGTAAAAACTTGATTTTACAACCACTCTAATGTGGTTCTCTAAATTTAGTCCAGTGTCAACTTTTACCCCTAGGTTAGTAACCAAAGCCTTGATGTACTGGGTCAATGAAGCCAACATCTTCATGAGGCGTCTCAGTGGAGCTTCCAAAGATCATCAKCTCAGTTTTATTTTCGTTAAACTTTAAAAAATATCATACCCATCCAGGCTTTTATTTCCTTTAGACATAAAAACAGAGAGCTCAGAGAGTTGGTGTCCTTTTTCTTTAACAGGACATATATCTGGGTATCATCGGCAATGTCAAATTTGCTAAGTATAGAGCTAAGAGGAAGCAGGCACAGTATGAAGAGGAGGGGTCCAAAAACTGAGCCCTGCGGAACCCCACACAAAACAGCAGCAGAAAAGGACACACAGTCGCCAAGAAAGACACAAAATATACAGTATGTTCAGCTAAATAGGACCTAAACCAGTTTAGAGCTGTCCCACCGATGCCTCTACTTTTATTAAAAAGAAAAAAAAGTCCTAATAAACTTCTTACAAAGACGGCCCCTTTGGAGTGATACTTCTCTTTTAAGCAAAGCAGTTTTGTGATAATGCAACACGAGAGTCGGCGTGGTTTACAAGACAAGAAGTGTGTTGTGTGAAATACTGAACAAGACTTTCTCTTTCAGACATTTTCAACAAATCACCTCTGAGAGGAGAGGAGGGGAGTGTGGGGCAGGCCGAGGCAGTGGACAATGCACCTTTTCAAAAGCATGTTTCTGCTGCTCAGAAAGCACAAAGGTAAGACAAGCCTGCAGGACATAAAATTGTGGCTTWATGCTAGAACATTTCTTGGTGTGACTTTAATAGAAATCAGTCAACCGTGTGCTTGGATAGTCTTTTACACAGAATAACGTGGAATAAAATTCATTTAAAAAAAGAGGACTTCACACAACAATTTTACAGCAATGAGTTGAGCCCATCCTCCAAAATACCTTCCGCTGAAAATGAAATCCATTTAAAATAATTTCAACAATAACAACTGATGGCTCAAAGGAATGAGCTTTTCCACTTCCAATTATTACATCAATTAATTGTGAGTGAATTACCTGCACTGAGAGGTGAGGGTCACATTTCCTGGCACTTTCTCATATTCTGTGTGTGAAATAAAGTTGTAGCTATATGTGCCTTTTTAATTTGACTTTCCAAACCAAGTTCATTCAAAGTCTGTCTGCATTCATAAGTTGGAGGTGAAAGACAAGAACCGGTCAGACAGAACACACACGCACACACACACATGTCTCAGTCAGAGAGGTACACAGGATCAGAGATCATCCACATCAAATAGATCCAGAGACACACAGACGCCTGGATGTTCAGTTCGCTGCACGTGTTTACCGGCAGCTGACAAGCTTAGAAATGCAAAGGAAGTGAAAAGACAAAATTTAAAAAACAAACAAACAAACAAACAAAAAACAAAACAGGAAATGTAACATTTGTTAGCCTAAATAAAATGCTCAAGAGGGCTTTAAAGTGTAAATAGTCGTACTTTTGACCTTGTACAGAAAACTCAAATTTACGATAAAAAAAACATAAAAATCTTGAGGCAAACAGTTTTTTTCTGAAAACTCTGTTTTTTTTTGTTTTAATTTTCATACAAATTGACATATTGTGTGTTGATCAGACAAAAGCATTAATCCAGACCAACATCTCTCAAACTTTTCATTACAAGTACCACCTCGTAAAATATTAAGCTCACCCAACTCTGCGACAGAGAAACTGGTTTAAATTTACAAACTGGCCAACCTATTTGAACACCTAACCATAACTATTATCCTAACTATTTATAAGTAACCTTTCAACAAAACAAACTGGCTTCTGGGTTAAACAAAAAAAAAAAAAAGGATTTTGATTGTGCTGTAGTGTCTTATACCTTCATCAGTACTCCCTACTTGCAGCAATCTTTTTGGCCTAATTAAGGAGAAACATTAAYATTAAAGGGGACATGTCATAAAGAAAATCCACTTTTTTTAGCTGCTAAAAACACTTTGTTGTGTACTTGGAATCTCTAGGAATACAGAAAATTAGAATTTAATCTCTCCTGTGTAGATATCTTTATATTCTGTTTGGGTCATATTTTTCAACCCGTTTGGTTTTGTCTATTTTTATCATGTTTTCATAACTATTACATCAACTTTTTTTGCAACAGAACCGCCGAATAAGGTCTGGACTTGCCAACTACAATTTGGTGGTCTTCACTCTCCTCTCGCTCTGGGTCAGACTCTGGCTCCAATGTAAGGCTGAAGGGACAAGTCTTCCTTTGTTGAAATCTTAAAAGAAAATAGAAAAAGTTCCTGTGCCGTTATATAATCATAAACCCCTCTCTCAATTGGACTGCTTTGGAAGCTGGGACCGGCCTCAGAAAAGGGGCGGGGCTTGTGGACTTACAGTATGGAGGAATTCATACCAAAGCATTGCAGTTCCACTATAGACGCCAAATGAATGGCTTAAATGTGAAAAAGGATTTAAAAGCAAGAATTTAAATTAACACAATCGTGGAGAACAGCACCGTAGTCATTGTTCCTCTTTTTCTCTACAGTAAATGAGTGCAAATTTGAGATAACCTATATTTCCTAAGTGTTTTACACCTTTTATTTTAAACTGGTCCTTTAGGAACTTTACTGGTGCCATTGGAGTAGCCTCAGACACTTCAGGTAACCATTGTCTACTTCAGTTTTCACAAGAATTCTTGAAATGTTCTCCATTCTTCTTAGTTTCCGTTTGAAGCCTAGATCCCACTTAATATAATGTCTGTCTCTGGTTTTAGTTTTACATCATAGTCCAGCTTATTTTGGTTAATAACATTTTTGTTTATCCTGTAAATAGTTAATGCCAAAATACATTTCAAAAAGAAAAAAATAAGTAGGTCCTCTGGATGGGTTCTTCTTTAGTGAAACGTTTCATCTCTCCTCCAAGAGACTTTTTCAGTCTGAGTTTCAGGTGAACTCAGCTTTATAAGCACTGCCTCCACATGGACAAACAGGTTAGTCACATGCAAAGGAAGGCCATCGCCTAACAATAGGCTTGATTAGCTCTATTTAGTCACATGCAAAAGAGGGCCATCGCCTAACAATAGGCTTGATTAGCTCTATTGTTCATAGCGGGTCATGTGCCCCATCATCTGACCCGTGTCGTGTTATGTGTATGTAGTGAGTGCAAGCGGGGCTCGATGTCCCCTTGTTTTTGTCCCTCTTTCCCTCTTTGTATTGGGTACTATTGGGGCCCTACCATTAAGAACCATATAGTCCACAGAATTCTTAAAAAAAAGTCTTTGAATTATATAAAGTGTTCTTGGCAAAATTTATTTGAAAAAAAAAAAAACACCTGAATATTGAGCTCATATTCCTACATCTGCACCATGAATATGCAGTTACATAAGGCCATCATTTTGTAGAAACTTCATTTTTCATAGTTGACATTTCATGTTGTCACCACAGGAGAAACTAGGGTGACACAAATGTTGTTAATGATGTTTCAGGTCTCCATCGGCTGCCCCAGTGTGCTGTGACAGTTAACCAGCATTCACAATACCAGGACCCTTAGATAAGCCATTACCTGCACCGGTACCAGCTTATCTAAATGAAATAAAGTCATCTGTTATCAGCAACGCCCAAGCTTTTCTCTGCGTGACATGTCTAAAATGTCCCCTGTGAGAGAGAGAAAAGAAGTCTATTAGAGGCTGGCAGAGAGAAGGATTTTTGCTAATTTTAACCAAGTCAGATTCAGGGTCCTATATGGATCGCCGATAAATTTCCCATTTTGTTGGAGGACCACGTAGGGTAAAAAAATCCAATATAATTTGTGGAATTACTGCTATTACTACAATTATTCCTACAAAGATTATACCTGTGAGAAGACAGGTTTTAATCTAAGTTTGTGTAAAAAACATGATTTTTTTTTGTGTTTCGGTGGAGTTTTATCAAAGATAATGCAAAAGCACTTTGAAGATTTAATGGAACCTTGAAAAAACATGAAGCTGTTTGTCAATTCAAATGTCATTTTTATTATTATTATTATTATTATTATTATTATTATTATTATTCTTAACTCCGATAATTCCATTTCTGTTAATGTTATAGAGAAACAGTTGTGGTCTGACAGAAAATAAGACATAGGTCCTAGAAATCCCATCATCCTTGACCTTTCTGCTCAGCGAGTGACTGGTACTTCGAAGATCCAAACAAGACCATTAATTCTATCTTGAGCGATGGTCTTTCAGGCCTGAAGGGGAATTTGAGGGATTTTGGGATCTAAACAAGCTCTGAAGATTATGGCTGAGTGAGGGATTTGTGTGTGATAATTATAGTAACAAATAAATTTGATATTTATGCCCTATAGAATTGTGAAGGAACATTTAAATAAGGGCCTTTTCTAATCCAAAAGACGGCTTATTTTTTTGTGATAAAAAAAAATTGTGAATCAAACTGAAATAAAACATCTCTCAGAGATCATTGAAAAAACAATAAATCACAAAAAATCCTTTAAGATCAAGTGAAAGTTTTATTTTTCACCATTTTCCTTAGAAAAGATGTCTCTAACCTGAGAAAAGTGAGGCTGCTACAGAGAAAAAAAAAGCTTTCTTCTTCCTTTTGCCATAAAAACAAAGACATATTTCATCCATCTTCCAATGTCTTCACATTTTCTGCTCTCCTCTAACTGAACCATAAAAACAAATAAAAATTATTTTACTGCACATCTATCATTCAACTCTGAGACTTGTTTGGTAGATCAGACACCTGCAACGAGTCTTATCGTGGTTTCAGATCTAGCAGCTGTAGCAGAACAGCACGTTGAAAGCACAAGCTGTAATCGTAAGAAGTCTCAGATATTTAAATGTGGTGGTRCGCCGGATTTAGCCATGGGGTCTGAGTGTTGATTTTGCTTTGCTGGATCCTGAGCTGTTCGTAGGAAGAGGCAATCGTGTTTTAATGAGTTGCTCCAAAGTTTGATGTCTTTCATCCATTTTCACTGACATTACCCAAAATGAAAAAAAAAATCATGTATCTTCATTTACAAAATCATCAACAATGTTAATATTGTCTTTTGTTTGTAAATCTAATTTATACTTCATTTCCTGTTTGRCTGAGTGGGCGGAGAATAAAACTAGATCATCTCCATGTTTCCCACCTCAAATGTTCATTTTCTTGGAGAACTAGATGTGCTCGAGTGAAAAGTGCAGCACGATTTCTGAGTATTGTTTTTTTCCATAGTAAGCAGAGTCTTTTGAGTGCTGCTCTCCAGGGTGCCCCCTCCACCCCCCATATGTGTTGAGCTCCATTTGAAGAGTTGCAAAACCAAAATAGGGCAAACAGCTTGAAATAAACCATGTGGGGATCATTTTTACACACACCGAGACAATGCTAAATCACACGTGAACAAAAGATAAAAATAAACCCACAGTACCTAAGTATGATTTGGCAAAAGTCGGGACCTGCGCCGCATTGCTCTCCAGTCGACAATCCAAAGTGCTGAGATGGAAATTGTCTGCATGTTTCACACGTTTGCATTTTAATTAAACGCCACTTAAACAACTGGAAGTTTGTAAGTGATTTCTTTCTTTACTTTGACTTTATTTTTTTTTTTCAATCAAGCAAATGCCCAACGTTTCAAGTATACTCCTGTCCTTTTTTCCAAATCAAGCTTTAAGATTGCACACACTTCATGGTAATGACTGTGACGGAGGGCCAGCATGGAGTTAATGAGTTATTGATTGTTGACTCCCAGAGATAATCTGATCTAACATTCTGTAACATCTGTATTAAAACATGAAAAGTTGTATTTACATCAATCAGCCCAGAGGCACCGGCTTGCACAGCTCCTCGTTTGTCTTTGGAAGAAAGTAATCTMTGTGTGTCACATTATTTTTGTCTCTAGAATTGTGATTTTGCATACTTTGATGTTTTCTTWTTAAAAAACAAAACAAAAGCAATTCCTGTCCGCTTCTTCGGGGTGCATGAGTTTAGTGTAACGGTCTCCATCAAGGCTTCTGTCAGCAAGCAGACTAATAAATTAAATGAGCTAAAAACAACATATTAATACACAACTCAAAAACACAAAAGGAATAAAAGCAAAACCTATGACAAAATGAATATCGAGGGAAAAACCAAACTCACGAGGAACATATTTAGATAACAAAAGTCATAGTCCATTAGTGAGGCTACATAAATACAAAACATAGGAGATGTTCAAGCAGAGGTTCTGTTTCATAGCTGGTGCTGGATAAGCACTCTGATGAAGGTGAGGGGACATCTTTTCTTGGAGAACACTTCTACTGAGTTGCAACGGGTGGTTATCTCAATAGGTCTGGACGAGTCAAGTGCAGCCGCAAATGGCTTGTGAAGGGTTCGCCACCCAGAACCCGGGAAAGGAGGCAATCACTAAAAAGAAAGTGATTCTCCACAAGTCCTTTTCCAATCATCTCGCCTGCGTTTCCACGGTGTCAGTGACACATTCGAGTGGTGTTCGCTCCTCCCCGCTCTTCTCATCTCGTTTACTGCGGAGGCGTCTCTCCGACCATCTCGATGCCGTGCTGCTGGAGCTGCGCTCGCAGCAGCGCGTTCTCGTTCTTCAGCTCTTCAATCTTAAGAACAAAGGAAGAAAAATCTCATCATCGACATCTTTTATCCCATGACAGCTAAACGCAGCTTGCAGTTCACAGACCAAACTTTTCTGTTTGATGAGACTCAGTTTTGGTAATGCATACACGGGGCTGTGCGGTACCTGGGATTAGAGAAAATGCCTGCGGCCTTGTTTAATAACAGCCCTGTCCACAACCAACTGGATTATCAAATCTTGAGGTATGTCATCTCTGCCTCATTTCCCTAAGGTGAATTCTGATTTTACTGCTTCCCCAACAAGGAACTGAGGGTAGGATATTGAGCTTCGAGCATCAGAATAAAAAATATATTGCCGAGTGCCTCGCGGGCCTCAGATTCAAGAGGGAGACACAGCAGCCCCAGAGCTCCAAAATCGCACAATACTTTCAAGGCATTAGCATGCACTTGGTTCTCACACAGCCCCTGTGTATGCTATTCCCACTGCCTCTCAAAGCACTGATTTCAGGTAACATTTCTCATTATAAGAGTGCAAACTCTTTGATCCTCTTTGTCAGCCTGTGATGATTAGCTACACAGCCTGAAGTCTCGGTGGGTTTGTTTTGGAGAAATGAAGACGCGTACGGGGCTAGGCTGAATTTTATGCTTCTGAGACTTAACCATTGAATGTAGCAGAGCACCGCGCAGCAAACCAATCTATTCAGTGCAGTAGCAATCTTCAGAGCCACATATGCAGCCCACTATGGCTGCCTTTTTATGTGCCGATTTATTTATCTGCTACACCCGACCACCTCAAAGGAACGTTTTGAATTATCATTCATAGACTTTCTTTTATGCATTGCTGAAGTCARTGAAACTTCACTTGATGCCACATTTGCAGGGCAGAGCAAGCATTGATATTAATACCTGCTGCCTGCACAGCTCATTGTCCACTTGTATCCTCTCCACTTCCTTTAGACTCTCCTGCAGTCGCTGGTTATTTTGCCTCAGCTCACGGATGTAGTCGCAGGCTTTAGACAGGATGCCACCCTTGCTCTAAAAGGACAGAGATGWAGTCACGAAGCTGAAAAGGACAAATTTAAAATGGGGGAGGGGGGCGCCGTGAAATATGGCTTACTGCTCCAGTCTTGGTGCTGTCCATACTGCAGTCAGGGATCATCTTGGAAAGCGTGACAATCCAGTTGTTGATTTTGTCTCTTCGTCGTCTTTCGACTGAGAAATTGGCAGCAAATAAACAGAAAACAATTTATAATTCTACATTAATTTTTTTTACTCTGTTTTCAGAGATATTATTAGTATTCTTGGGATCAAAAACCAGATTTTTGTTTTTAAAGGGTAAAAAAACACTTCCTGTCTTTGGTAGCTCAACACCGACCTCTAGTGGTTAGCTTGAAATCAAATGTTATCTATTTTGGGGATAACAGCATGATTTGACAGGGTTTGGCGATTTTCTTTCAACAGAAACGTCCCCATTAAAGCCCCACACCGCATTGTGTTGCACTGTCTGATGAAATCAAAAGCCACAATCACTCCTAATTACCCACCTTCATTATGTTGCGCTCTCCTCCTTTCATCTCGAGGCGTTCGGGGTCCGTCCATTTTCCTGCAGATAAATAGAAAATAAAACACTTTTCATACACAACAATATCTCCCATCTCTGAGCACCAGACAATCAGGCACAAATCCAATCCTTTCCCCTACATCTAACTAATCCTGTGCCTATTATTTATACCATTCTTCACTGTTATCTTTCAATTCAAGAGGGCTGTAATTGCTTATTCAAAACAAGACTCTGAAGTTCCTTCGGCAAAAAATAAAAAATAAAAAATCAAGACTGAGAAGCCATGTGAGGTAACGTGTGACTGTGATGCACAAGCTTTTTTAGCTTTGAGCCACTTAACAACAATTCTACAACCAGGTCAGATTTCTTCCTGCTTTTCTCCCAGGTGAAGCCCAGAGAGAGGATAAGGTCTCTTTARGCTGTAAGATTACAAAATCATGCTAGCTGAGTGACACAACTGTTTCTTGTCTCTGCATCTACCCCTAGGATTCTGTTAATTAAGTCACCGAGACTTGCCGSGAAGTACCAGCCAATCAGCCACCATGGCACCAATAAGCCAATAACATGGTCACAACTCACCCTATGCTGACTGCACTACGTCTCCACTATATTCTAGTTTGGAGGGGGGGAAAAAATAGCATCGCTAAATATTTCATTTGTTTTGAAAAATCTGGCAAATTGGTGCAGTTATTTTGCTTGCTCTCTGCGTTAAAAATAATTATAATAAAAAGAATCACCCKTCTACTTTGTTTGTTCTCTTTCTCTACAGCAAAATAAAAAGTGGATGTGTCCCATCAACTGCTGAAAGCTTCCTCTGAGATACTCAGCTAAGCTAAATAACGCTCTCTACTGTATTTAAATATAGCCTAATGGGATTTCAGCTGTAAAATGGATTCTGCCCGATGGTACTCTTAAAAAATAAAAATGTGGATGATGGTATGAATCACTAAATGTGCAAGCTCATAATAATGTCTGGATCCATCTTGATTTCACAACACAGAGCCACACATCAGCTAAGTGCTCCCAAGAAGTTTTTTCTACGGGAATTCAGTGCTGAGGTACTTTGTTCAAATTATTTTAATTTAAAAACTGTACAGTTTTATATTAATTAATAAAAAGAAAAGTCTAAAATTTACCCTCTGCACTCTCTTCTAAAGGGTTACTATAATCATAACTGAAGCAATGGCCTTGACAATCAGACAGTGAATTACACAATAATTTACTGCTGTTAACAGCAGCTTGAACTTTTTACTCTTTTTGTGAATGATTTAAAATATCAGCCTCAAGTGTTAGCTGGTCAGCATTAACTGATTTTACGTGAAGAGGTTGGAAAATTGACATCACAATGTTTCAACTTACTCCATTTGTAAAGATAAGGGAGTTAAGGGGGAAAAAAACAGCAGCTTTCTATTCAGTGTGAAAACAAACCAACTCAGGCAAGTCATTTTACACTAAAATTCAAAAACTATTTTAAATAAAACCAAACCTCTACTACCACAAAGAACACCTCAAAAACACAGTTAAATAAAGATAACTGAGTGAGCCAATTGTTTCCAAATTGAAAACAATGACCTAGTTATTTTTGGTCCTAATGGAACAATTTGTTTGCCACAAGCACAGCTAACAGCTATGGATCAGGGTTGGCAGTGAACAAATGCACACATGAAAAGCTTGAAGAATCACTGGGGGCTTCAGGGTGGGAGGAGAGGAGAAGAGGGCAGTTTGTGAGCTGCTTCTGTTCAGGTGATCTTATTTGATTAATTCATTTATTGTATAATTAAAAAAAAAAAGCAGTGCAAAAGAAATGTGAAAACTGTCCTCACCAGCTTAAACCATCACGTTGCAGCAGCTCGTTTTCATCTCTGCGAATGTCAGATAAGGTGGGAAGTTTTCATTCACTTTGTTCACACGTCAATGAAACTGTCACTGTTATTTAGCACTTATTGCATCTTGAAACTCAAGATAATGGTGAGGGAATAAAAAAAAAAAAATCAGACATACTGCAAACAGACATGTTGAGGAATGACAAAAAACACATTTCACTGTATGTACATGAATTTCAACACAGTTTGTTCTTTAACACAGGAAATCAGTATAATGACGCTGCATGGCTATAAAGCTAAAAAAACTGCTCAACTCTTAAAAGTCGCCCTCAACAAAAACAGTTTATTTACATTTACATCTAAACAGACAAGACATGGCAAGAACATGCGGCTTTATTGCAAACTACAACTCAAGTAGTATTCTCTCCATGAGGATGATTTTAATTTCATCAATTTAAGCATAAACCTAGAGGAAAATAAATGAATATTCATTTTGATCAAAGTAAACTGAATTTGACAACAATCAATCATGTGCTCGGTTTGTAAACGGGCAAGCAAATGGCTGCATCATAAAAAATAAGCTTTTATTTTCCAGGATCACATAGTTTTTTGGCATTAAAGTGAAGCTTTCTTTGTAAAATAAGTAACCAAAGTATTTTTTGATTGATTGAAATAAGTAACCAAAGTAATCCAGAAGAGACTGAACTAAAATGTAAATTGTTTTGTCCAAGTGAGCCTGCTGATAATCTAAATTACCTATTCCTAGTAATGTGTCTAAAAGTTCAAAGMAGTCAGACATGCTTGGTGTGCAACTGTAATGAAGCTTGTTGCTTTTACACTGTATGAGTTTATGAAAAAGAGAATGAGGAAACCTTGCTGACCAGTACGTGCTAAAAATAAAACAATTCAAGGAATTATTCCTCTGGCCAGAGGAAGAGCCTTGAACAAGAAACACCAACTGCAGCAAAAGAACCAAACTTGAGCGTTCATGTACTGGAACGGATGTGGAAGTTGTTTTACATTCAAGAGTTTAAACCGCATTTACTCATGTGAGACAATGAAGTATCTGTAGCAACTGCCTGGTCTTTCTAATCGTGTACACCATGACATGGTGTACCGTTACATCCTTTGCTGACTCTTTTTACTCTAGCTTCCTTTACAGCCTCTCCCTGCATTGGCATCTGGATTTTTTATGAACTTAGCCTGTTTTGTTTAATCAATGTGACTTTGTCATTTAATATGTATTTCAAACTGATGGAGTTTATTGATTACAAAGAGTGTGTCAATCAAGCTGCAGATGTGCTTTATATCACTGAAAGAGAGAAATGCTCACGAACATGTTGCAACTGACAGTCAACTATAAAAATCAATTTAGATTGACACAAATCGGATAAATTTAATAAGCCTGAACGTAACATTATTTTTGAGCAACTACCAAAGATGAGACACTAGTGTTTGACAAAAAACTAAGAGGTGTCTGAGGCTTCATTATTAATGTTCTCTTAATGAGCAACAGGGAGAGGCGATACTTACGCAGGGTAGGGCTGTGTGCGTGGGGCGATGGTTCGTTGTGTTCCCGTTTGAATGACATCAGGAGGTGTCATCATCACATAAAACTGACCTGTGAGAATTAAAATCAAGTTTAAATTCTTAGACATGCACTGAGGCTCTTGTTCATTACAACCAGACTGCACTCTTCCACTAAGCAAGGTGACATCGTTAGCTACATTCAAGACCACAAATTTCAACAATCCACGAACATTGAGTGTTTTACCTCTTACCCAACACTTTCTTCAAACTTTAGAACAGTCTTGCCTAAAGCTGCACCTAGAGAGTGTTACAGCTGAAGTGCAGCAACTGATATGTCCTCGAGGTAGTCTTACTCCTTTGGGTGTTTGTCATGTGATGCAAGGAGACACAGGGCTGAGGTAAAACAAAGCAGTGTGTGTGGATGTGTTGCATTAGCCCGATAAGAAACATATCAGTTGATTTTGGTTAAAAAGAAACAAAGAAACCTCAAGATTCAAGACAAGTTACTGAAACCAAGCAGCTTATATAACCTGACAGTACCTACGTTTACATGGACATAAARAATCGGATTAAACGGCCATTCYGAATAAAAATGTGTCAGTTSAACACCCCATTCYGATTATTCCGACCCGAWTCAGCTCGATCCGAATGAATTCGTAATTGGAATGAGAGAGGTAGTTTATGRCGACTGATAATCTGAACGACGTGCATGTAAACACTTAATCCGATCATCTTATTCTGATTGTGGAAAACTGACCTGACTGCGCATTAGGGTTGGGCGATATTGGCAAAAAAAAWTWA